AGAACACATAATAAAGTTAATACAACAAAATAAAGAAACATATGACAATAAGACTTGAATTATTGTGAAACAAACGAACATACCTTAAAAGAAGACAGGTTAAGTTATAATGAAATTTATTGGATGGAAATGGAAAGAGGGCAAATAAAGGCAAGCAGAACCTTTATATACTCGCAATCCATTTCATTGATAACCTGTTTCTTTCTTGGTATCGTGACCGAATTTCAAATCTTAATCTTCTTTAATTCCATCAGCTACTCAAGAATCATGCCATCGAGATTAATTATTATTTATGGTTATGTAATGTAGGATTCAATAGTTTACTACATGAACTTAGTATTATTTCTTTCATGTACAATGTCTATTCACCAATTTTAGGTCAAATTTTCTTACATTATAAACCTTCCCTGAAGTGGACATATAATTTCTTCTGAATAAATTGAAACATATATGAACCTAGTGTCTTATCCTTGATTTTCAGACTACATAAAAAACTTTTTTTAATCGTTTCTTTATCATTTATTTATTACGATTGGCATTTAATGGCCACTGCTATTTCCAAGCAATTTAATTTAATCAAACCATTCATTTCACTGACAAATAAGAAACAATCAAAATTATTCGATGAATATCAAATAGTACAAAATTAATTTAGGTTGGCTAAATGTTGTTTTATTACGAATCTTTTGTCGTACAAGTTAACCGCAATTTGTGTCTCGGTTACAATCATTGAATGGGTTATTAATCCTTCTCATAAACCGGAACCAACCATCCAGCATCGTAATAGTCAAACATTCGAAAATAAAATTTTTAAAGAAGTCAATCCGTGTCCACCAAACAGTTATTTTGGGTCGTCATGCCGCCTGTAAGAAATAAAACGAAGCCACCAAATAAGCGCCGTTTAGAGGAAATAAGCTCAGCCGCACGAGGAAAAGGGGGGAAGAAGCGTCCCCGACCGAAGACACGGACACAGTGTCCCGCGAAGGACCAGTTTCCCAACTCTGCCAATCAACCCGCACTGGAGGCAGCCCCTTTGCATCCCGAGACAAACTCAATTCCAAATGTCGCGCAAGAATCTGGTGAGTCTGATACCAATTTACATGATATGAACGTCCAACACGCGCAAAACAACCCAACATGTCAACCCAGTTCTGTCGATACTTTAGGAGCTCATATCCCAAGTAAACTCAAAATTAAGATTTGGGAAGGTCAGTTTATCGATTTGTCATTGCTCCTTAAATCTGCCGCGGAATTAGAGTATTTTGACTCACATGCCATTAATAAATGAGTAATGTATATTTTACACAGAGAGAGATAGTATGTTTTATCAATATCTCAACTCTAAAGGTTAAAGTCAGTTAGATAGTACAAGATAACAGTGGATCCAAGCTATGCATGTGGATTAGACTGTATATGTGCATGTTAACATATTAATGGGCACAGTAGTCAGCTAGCAGGGTCAAATTCAAAGTAGCCAAGTCTATGATTAATTGTGTATCCTTCTCTTTCTGATATATATTTAAAAAAAAAAAATCACTCTAGAGTTAGACCTTTCCCCCGTTGAATTCTTTTGAAAGCTTACTGGATAGGGAAAGAAGCAATTAGAATTGATGTACTAGTTCTCAACAGAATATGGTCACAGGGTCAAAACAAAATAATAAAAATAAAAGATCTTATTAGAATGGATGTTCAATTTGTAAAAAATGAAAAAAAAACTTTTAAAGCTGACATATATAAGTATGGTTAACTTTAAGATATGTGGGTCAAAGTCAAACGTCAAGGTCACACAGTCAAAAATTTTGGTAGCACTTGAAAAGTCTCATCAAAATGTGTATTTAGAGATTTAATTCTTTCTTAAAATGCTAAGGAAAATATATGTATATAAACAGATGCAAATAAGAATCGTCCTTGAATCATTTATTGATTTAGTGTATCTAATTAATGATTCGTAAAAAAAATTATTTTCTTTGCTCTTCTCTATAGTCTTGGTATGTGATCACTCTCCATAGAGCAATTTTATTGCTAGTAGAAGCAAGATTCATTAGGGGGAGGACCTACTATGAGGAAAGTCTGACACTTCAACTAATGCAGAGAGGGTCTTCCCCGGTGGAAGTTGTCTCTAGAGTGAGACTTTAATAGGCTCTCCTGCACTGGAGTCAAAAAGAGAAGTCTCACGCTATAGCAAAACCTCCGGGTGACATCTCAATCTATGACATGGCTTCCGGGAGGAAATCTTACTATGAAGAAATTCTCTCTCTACACTACCGACCGTTCCCATGAAATGCGAATGCTAGAGTCTGACCTGGAAGCGGATCTTCACGAAGTCCACTGAGGGACAACAATTTCAAACAATGGAGGCACTATGAACGACATAGTGTAATCCTCATCAGCCGTATAAGAAGATAAACCAAAAGAAATCAGCGACAAAGCACTAAAGCTTCAAAAGCATTAATACTGTTTGTGATAAGGTGATTTTTTTTTTACAAAGTAGCTTATTTACCTTATCTGAGTTAAAAAGATTTTAATTCTATGCACATGTATGTGATAACTTTATATGAAATTTAAAGTTTAAATATTGATCGTTACTTATTTAAGGTTTCTCAACGCTTTAAAATATATAGATCCTTTGACTGAAAAAAAAATAATTTTAAATACACGTGTAAGCTAATGTATATTGATATTATTAGGAAAAAAATACTAAATTATATTATTCTTATCTGGGGCTTTGTATAAAAATAAGGTAAAATGTTTTTACTCCGGATGATTTCAATAACAACCGCCAAGAAAAGCACATTTTGTATGATAAATGTGCCATTCTCTTCTGAGATTAGCGTGTGTCCAGAGATACTTGAAATTTTAAACCAGTGGCTAATTTTTATAATTGCATATACATGTACATTTATAAGCTAATGAGAAACTAACCAAATTAGTCAACGACATGTATTTTTTTCTGCAATGATTGCAACCTTTCAATCATGACCCGTATATAACACAAGAAATACATTTATTTTCAATGTTATACATGTATATATTTTGCATATGGTTTTAAATTGTCGATATAGAATGTGTAAAGCATGCAAAATATTGTATATTCGATACATACGTTACATAGATGGAAGATCTATGAACAACCCAGGAAGTGGTTTTCATATGTGTTTAAAAATAATTTCTCCAGCGAGGAAGGGTTTGTGTGAGAAACAACTTCGAGTATAACATGGATTCTCTATACACTTTCAAACACTTTTTATTTCCATCGTTTTTCTATTCAGTAGATTTATCTGTCTGTACTTCTCTAATATCACTCTGTATCTGAAAGAGTAAAACACAGAATCATTGATCTTGAAAGGAAATAAAAAGAAATTACAATAGTATTCGAATATCAGTTGAAAACTTTACAGTTTAACTCCCCGAATCCTTTTCTCCTGTATATCGAAGCAACAATATGATAAATGGTTAAAAAAAAACCTTACACACATTCATTCATTTCCACTACTATGGTAGAATTTGGGTTCCTCCTCCATGATTTACATATTTTGTCATTCATTTTTCTAGGATAATTATTCCATTTTCCACTGTTATCTTTCCACATCCACTGATTACTTGCGTTTTGTCCATCCGTCTCTAAATCTGACGAAGACTCGTGCTCCAGTTTGTCATTTTTAAAGTATTTACCTTTGGGTACTTTAAGCAAATGTGTACAACATATAGGAAAATCGTGTACCGATTGCTCAAGACCGAGTGATTTTGATTTTGAGTTGATATCTGGATGGACGTACAACACACTGGGGGAGATAACTCTTGCGATTTCAAATAAACGTTTAATTTGACGTCAAATTTGACGTTTATAAGTCAAAATGACGACCGAATCGATCCTGACGTAATTATAAGAAAATGGGACTAGGGGCTTGATGTGGTTTCTTTAGAAATACCAAATCGTATCCTTGATTTTGATTTAAAACCCGCCAATCCTCCATAAAAAGGGAAGAAAAGAAAGATTATGTCTTAAATTTCTTTAATTTTATGTGAAACTTGTATCCGTGATCAATATTAGCACAACAATATTCTTTATCTTTTTATGATACATTGCTTTCTTTTGTTACAGTTGGCTATGTACATGTAACATTCGCTATCAAGATTACTTTTGTAACCAGTTACATGAAAAAAGTATTTTTTCCAAAATTAAACGATAGGTTTTTTCGTAAAAAAAAAAAAAAAAAAAAAAAAAATTAAAAATAAGCATTTTTCAAAGCTTAAATAAACCATAGTTTTTCAGTTTAAGGATGTACAACACACCTACCCAAAAAATTTCCTGTCGTTTAATTTTCGCTATTTTTGTACATCTTATACATGACCATATCTACTATGTGTATGTACTACACACCCCAAAAACACATACAAAATTTATACCCTTAAAACAATTAAAATATCCAGATCAAGATCTGTCAACCTTTCTAAGCATTTTAAAGGACTGAATAATTTTTAGAAAATGACCCGAAGATATATATAGGTAACATACATATAAAGATTTTTTTATTTATGAAATTGAAATTACACTTCTGCAATTTCATTTCACATTCTGTATTTGGAATCCCTGGGATCCTGGTCAATGATGACCAAAACATATTTGCGTCGTATGTTGTAGCTGACAGTAATTTTTTGTCAATTGTACATATACAATATGTTTTTTTTATACATTAAGATAGAACGATAAAGAAGTGTTTCTTGGCCATAATAAAGCATGAATGATTTTCTGTGTTTTTTTTTTCTCACACATTGACAAATTGCCTTAAAACGTACCAGCTGTATCAAAATGTTAATCTAACGTTACTGGTCCTTATGCCCCACATTTTATTACACTGTTATTTGTATGGCTTATGAACATTCAAAATAATCCCCTGAGATAATGTTAAATACCAGGAAGAACAATTGATTTAACATAAGGGACAGGGAAATATTTCTTTTCTTGGAATTAAACAAAAAAAAAAATTAAAACAGAGAGGATGTTGAATTCTTTGTTTCTGTAAGTATGAATTTTAAACACAAGATCAGTTGCTAAATCCTAAATTCCTAACTAAAGATTATATGTTTAATAAGTTTGACATTATGCATGAACACATAAAAGTGAAAGTAAAAGAACCCTTTTTCTATGTGATAGTGATTATGTTCAGACTCTGGATTCTGCCTTAGAAAACACAAAGCAACATTGGTTTGAACAAGCAGACCTCGAAGCGACTAAAAGTAAGTTCTTAACTCCCTTATTTCTAATTTGTATATAATATAGTTCTAAAGAATTGTAATCATACATGTATTTTTGAATGTTGATCTGTTTGTTTCCGAGTGTAAAGTCATCTATTTCCTATGTCATGCGTAATACATTATATCTGTTTACTGCACAATACATAGTGCGGTGCCATTTTATAACTTTAAATACTATATCTTACTTCTTACATTATGTCAAATATTCTCAAGCATCTTTATGATTTATTGTAGATAGTGAACGAAGATATCAACAAGGAAGAGGACCATGCAATATTTTCATATTAGATACTTCGTCGAATATGGGAGAGGAAGGCTTCATACAAATGATAGACACATTTTGTTCTATCATGGATGGTAGTGTAACATAACATATAATTGCATGAATTGTACTTTTTTGTCCAGAAACTTCTACTAAAAAATCAGAAAAGATACATTGCGTTGAAGTTTAAAAAAAATGGTTAAACATACAAAAAATCACAGATTCTTTTAAGATCACATCAGAAGATGCCTGAATTATTTATTTCAGAATATGCCAGATACCCTGAAATGGATGAAAATGTAGCTGTTGTGATTTGTGGAAGGACAACGACATTTAAACACTACTATTCCAATAATTATGACCAGATAAAACATTGCATTGGTACATGTATGACTTGAAATACATAGTCATCATGACTTTTGTGCTAGGAAATAAAGAGATGGAATTGATTTAATGATATTTTACAGATTATTTTGTTATGAAGTTTTACATTGACCACAAGAATCTGTTTGACTACATGTTTACAAGACAGAGCTAAGGCATGTGCACTTTCATATTTTCTTATATACGAAGAGTTAAAGCAAAATTAACTATGAAAATAATAATAAAAAATCTACGTATGTAACATTCATTTACATAGTAAAAACACTAATTTTAATCTTGCAGACGACGTTGAATATGGCGGGCCGTGTCCCCTTACCGCGGCTTTTATCCTATCTTTAGGAGCTATTCTCAAAAGATCAGGTTAGTTTATCAATCTTATTTTATATAATAATTTTATTCTTAAAGTATTAAAAGCGTTCTCATATCTATTTAATGCTGTTTTAGGACATACGAGGGTGATGGGAAGTTTTCACGTGCATCCCCGCTTTATTGTTATTTCGTCTGGAAGGCCAACCGACTTCACCTTAATGAACAATATGGAAGAAATTGTGACTATAATTGTTTTTCTTGTGCTTTTTTACGTTTTCGGATTCATACAAAAATGAAGTATCTTCCACTCTTACAACGGATATATGAAAATATTCCTCTTTAAATATAGATAATGCCCACTTTTAAAATTTCGAAAAAAACAATGTTTACATAATTTAAAATTATTTAGGTAATGGATCATTTACATCAAACAGCAAGAAAAATTGGAAGACACAATCCAATATACTGTATTCCAGTAGGAAAGAATCCAGACATGGTAGGAAGATATGGAGTGGTGCAAATGTTTTGAAAATCCATGTTTGCAAGAAATTAACTTTAATTCCTCTAAATTATTAGAGATGACTCTGATAATTACTATCTAAGAGCTATCTGAATACTGTAAATCACTTTTTCTTCGGAAAATTTCTTTTTTGCGTAATTAAACGAGACGATCTACTCGCGAGAAAAGTAGTAATTTTCATGTATATTTTTCGGTGTAGAAATGCAACCCAGACTTCTTGAAAATTTTGTTTCCCTTGCAAACACCAATACCTGTCTCGCAAAATAAGGTGTCGCAAAAATTAAATGAACTGCAGTACATATATATCATAATGGTAGACTTTACTTTACCGGTCCCCATATCCGGAAGATCCGCGCGCTCATTGCACTATGACGTAAGATTTATGTCACTCAACTTGATAAGGGTTAGTCTTGCACATTTTTCGACTGGTTAGGGTTAGTCTTGCAATATTTAATTTATTTATTACTTTTATTTCAGAGAACCAGGTTAAAAACTTCGCTTAAAAACTAAGTTTTAACCTAAACTTTTAGCCGTAGAATTCGATTTTGGGGTTCAAAGGCTTAAAACCTCATATTTTTAAAATTATTTTTGATCGCTCCTGCGATCTCATATATATTGAAGAAATCTACGTCGACACTATATTTTAGTGCGTTTTTCTGGGGACCGTTAAAACAAAATATTTTTTATTCCATACGAATTAATTTCAACATTTTAAGAACTTTTCAGCAAGATTACCATCTCATTCAGTTAAATACAAGCAACCATTTCCTCAACTGTGCAAAAAGAAAAAAAAAATCAAACCTGAAAATATATTATATTTCTTTGTTAGGAAAATTTAAGATTTATATCTGCTCTTTCAAGAGGTGGGAAGATTGTTTATCCACATGAAGCCAGGCAGTTTGCTAAATATACTCAGAACAAATGACATTTTTAAATGATGTAAGTAAGTATCTGATCATAAATATTCTTCACATCTATATGAAATTGGTTGTAATATTGATATTTATTTTACTTAAGATATTTTTTTTTCCATTTTGAAACCGAGAGCAATTTATTTTATCACTGTTGTTATTTCAGATTTACAGGTACACTGTAATACATTATACATATAAAAACCAATCCTGATCTCCGAGGGTTTTGTTTATGTAAGTGCTGTGTTAATGCTTTTCATCTCTCTCAAATAAATCTATACGATGATTTTTTCCTCTATTGTAGCAAGTTGCATCATTGATATCATTTTTATCCAGCTTTGAGAGATTTGACAAAGAAACAATAATACAATTAATTCCTCAGGCTATGCCCGGAAAGGAATTCACTGACACAGATAAGGTATTATAAAGACCGGAGCTATTGCTCGCTGGTCTAAAATAAAATTGGGACGGACGAACGGAGAGCTACAGTGCAACCCATAAAAAATATATACCTATTGCGCACAAAAATGTACTCTGTTTCTCGATTTATTTCTCTGTATATCAAAGCTGCAGTCTCAAAATAAAAAGTGATCGATACATTCCCCATAGATGAAGGTTAAGTCATGCTCGAAACGCGTTGAACCAAATTGTCTTCCAATCCAAAATGGCAGTATAAATAAGCCAAGTTTTCGATAGTCTCGACATTAGGCCCAGGAGGGCTATCAACAAGGGTTGTGGGGAATGTTTTGTTGTGTAAATAGTAAAAGAATACCGGTGTTGTAGAGTGGGATTTCCCCGATAGCCTGCCAACCCCCCCCCCCCATCCCGGAAACTGTACTTTAGAGTAGGATTACCCCCTGAGAGAAAATCGCACAATAGAGTCAATTTTCCCCTCGTTCTTTCTCAGAGTAAGATTTCCCCCTTGTATCAATGCTTAAATTATATTGAGAATATTTTGGCAAAAGTTTATATGAAAGTAAACTGATTTACTAATGGAAATGTAAGTGTTTTCGATTCAAGAATTAATTGTCAAATTTAGAATTAAGTATTAATCTAAAATTTCAAAGCATTTTAAAAGTCACTAAAAATTTTGACTCATACAAAATTGTAAAATTAGCATCTACCATTTTGTGAGTATTTGAATTGAGAAATTCTTCAAAGGAAAAGAAAACAAACAAAAACAAAAACAAACAAACAAAACAAACAAATCAATACAAGAAACATTGCTTTTGCAAACAGAAGCCTTGACCCCAGCTGTGTAATGCTGGATTTGAAAGCAGAGAGCAAATAAATACTCCCGTAAAGTTTTGCAAAATTTCATTTTTTAAAGAAATAGATGAGCCATTTTTAGTGTCATGGCAATGGCAACTATTTTTCATATTTAAAGCCCTTAAACGTTTACAGACACTAACACATCAATATTATGTACTTGTAGTTTGAAATATAATTGGAGAAAAAAATCCATTTCAAATAAAATTCCATGGAGACAGTTAAAAACTTGTCGAAGCGATTACGGTGTTATCATTTTTTTCTGAAATCGGTTTGAACAGATGAAAAGAATATGATTTTAATGTTTCAAGAGAATTTCATAGTCAGTTACTGAGGGAAAAAAGGGTTTCAAAATTTTCAATTTTCATACTTTCTATTTTCAATGGAACTGGTAGCAATTTTGAAGATGGGACATTTTTAATAATCTTCCTCCTCCCCATTAATAAGTATAGCCATGATATTTTATTGGGGGGGGGGGGATTTGCTCTGGGATAAATCGCACTCTATAACAATTACACAAAGTAGGATTTCCCCGGATAATTGACTCTGATGTGGGATTTCCGTAGAGGAAATCCTACCATTTTTTCTTTGTTTTTCTAGAGTCATTTTCTCGTGGGGGAAATCCCAATCTAGAGCCAATTTTCCGGGGGGGGGGATTTTAGAAGGGAAAGGCCTGCTCTATACTGCTCTATCGTGTATTAGAAAAACACAGTTAGTAATATTTTGAAATGGCAGCTAAAATATAAGGAACATAAATCGAAAAATTCTTGCGTATCGCCCTGTCATTCTTTAGTTCATGGCCATTTAAATCATATGCGCATTTTTTTAATGGACGGCACTGTACCTCTCTCGTCGTCCCCCAGTTTTTACAGACAAGCGAGCTATCTGCAGCTAAGTTACTATGTGTAAATTTGAATGTATTTTAATTCAATTTCGTAGATCTATGACTCTCTTCGGCCCATCACAATTCAAAATAAAGATTTCTACAATATCATTGTTTTTTTTTTTTTTTTTTTTTTTTTTTTTTTTTTAAAGGAGGATATTTTCGAAATTTGTACGAAAAGGTCCCTATTTATACCAATGGATCAGATTGAAAAAGAGGCTACCAACAGCGGAAATAATGATTCCGTTATAGAGTGGGACCCTTGTATGCCCCCGTTAGGCAGTAGAGTAAGAAAGAGTCCAGAAAGTCCTTTAAGTACTGTAGAAAGACATATCATTGGAACAGTAATTGAGCATTGTGAAGATGGTAAGTTTACAAAGTGTCTTGATTTAAAAAAAAAAAAAAAAAAAAAAAAAAAGGAAGAGACTTAACAAAATGAAAATTTTGGTTGTATTAATTATTTTTTCTGATGATGCAGATCATAGAAACTGTCAACTTATCTGTTCTTCTCCAAGAACGATTTATGAGAACATGATCAATTTGAATAAGGTGTGATGCAGAGGATTTGTAGCAACGCAAAGAAGTCCTGAACAAATTATTGCCTAATATTCTTGAACACAATTGCCTTTCAACCTAAATAACAGAAGGAGAGATAATGAGTATTATCTCTAACATAAAATCACAGTAAAATTCATGTGCCTACATGTAAATAGGTAGAAATAGAGGATATTCAATGTTTTGTAGATGAATATGGAATTTATTTCACGAGTGGGTCAGGATTTTTTTTTATATTTTCACTAGTGCGAAGCACGAGTGAAAATTAAAAAAAAAATCCTTTCTCACCTCTCAAAAGAGAAATAAATTCCATATTCATCTATAAAATATTGAATTTTCTGTTAATTACATTTTCTTTGATTTTTCCCTTTGCCTCAGTCTTTTCGTAACACAGTGTCATAGGTTGTTACTTCATAGTTAAGCGGTTGAGACGTCATAGCTAAGCGATTGAGAGATTGAAAAAAAGTTGTAAACGTGGATTCTCAACAGCATATTTGGAGAAACTTTGGCAGTTTTAGTCTCTGTCAAAATGGTTCATTTACTATCTCTATTTTATGACAGGCAAGGGAGTTTTTTTTTTTTAAATACTCTTCGTGAAGGGAAGGAAATCGAGAGTTTTGCCGCACATCTGAAATTCTCACACTTTGAGAATGTCATATTGATACCCTTTCACACTGTGTCAGAATATCACTTTTATTCAATAAATAACAGTATTTCACTGTTGAAAATGTGATAAGTTTAATTTATTTTGGCTCTTTAATGGTTTATCGCTGATGCACTAACTCCATAAACACCGAGATTACCCTAGCTACGCTGTAAATCAAAACTTCTTTAGCATATGCAAACTTTCAATATTTTCTGAATTTGACTCATTTTCTTTTTGAAATACATGTAGCTAGTGTACAAGAGAAATTGAAACCTTATTTAGAATACTATCGAGGTTGTTGCCAAACACTTAACTTTTGTAACATCATGTTAACAAGATAAGCAAGATATAAATAAATAATTACACAATTGTATTCTTTTCTTCTATGATATATGTGCGCAGTTTTTTTATTTTTACATATACCCCAACTCTTAAGTATTATCAAGAAACAAAATATTTGCACATCAAAAACTCATATATCTGTTATACCGATTTAATCCAATAGTTGGATGGTTGATTGTCAAATGGGATGGAGGTTCTATGGATAAATACAGATATGGATTATTCAATGAGCAAAAATATGAATACGACGTCATCGTTTGCGATGTACCAAGGATGTTGGAGAATGAACTAATAGCCACTGGATGTTTGGTTTATAGAGGTATGTGTTTTGTTATCTCGTGTTAAAATGTTGACAAAGTCTAAAAAAGATGAAATAAGATAGCTATATACATTTAAAATACAGAAACACCTGAAAAAGGCATATTTAGAGAGAGAGAGAGAGAGAGAGAGAGAGAGAGAGAGAGAATTTACGTTGTAAAAAACTTTCAAATGAATATATATATATATATATATATATATATATATATATATATATATATATATATATATATATATATATATATATATATATATATATATATATAGATTCCTTTTATCAATAGGTCCAGACTGGGAATTTGGTGATCAAGATGGGGGAGAGGGAAGTATTGGTTCGGTGTATAGCGCAACCCCTAATGGAATTGTTGATGTACATCCAACTTGTTTTGTATCCAGACACAAGTTTTCAGAACCTAATGAATAATTCCGATTAACGATTTATATATATATATATATATATATATATATATATATATATATATATATATATATATATATATATATATATATATATATATATATGAATTTAACAAATTATCCTTTTCATTTACAAAAAATAGGTCCGCTGGCAAAATGGCACTAAAAATAATTATCGATTTGGATTTGGTGGTAAATTCGACCTGTCTTTGTGGTATATATATATAATGAATGTATAAGGAAGCTCAATTTTTTGGTTGAATACAAATAATTCAGATATATTGTGAATTCAACAGTTTTTGCGTAGGTCAATTTGATGTCATATGAGTTACATGTATAAGCGCATTTGCCTTGAAATATAAAGATGATAATAATTTGATAATTTAATTGATAATTTTAAGCAACCCTTTCTCGGCGGAGGCAAACAGATTTTTACAGGATCAAAAAAGACACACTGCCTCTAAACTTCCAGAGACAATGCAATACATTTATGCTGATGTTCCATCTTCGGGTATTCAAAACAAAAGCAAAAATTAAAAAATCTTATTTTTAGTTGTTTTTTTTTCATAACCCACGAAATATATCAAATACGAAGAATCTGTCATTTATGCAATTTCATTCATTTTACCAGAGACTCCAAGATCAGGTGATGAGAAAATATTAAAAACTGGAAAGGAAACTAATATTGGCATATTTTTGAAAACTCCAAAAGGGGTATATTTTAAAAATGACACAGTGGAAAACGACAATGATTCAGACTTAGACATAGATTGTTCTGACGTCACATGCCTGTCTATAAATTGTGATCACTGGTTATGGAAAGATAAAGATGGCACCTGGAACCATTATTCAAAAAGGATAAATGATAAATTGATGAAGAATTTTAAGAGAAACCAAACCTCAACAGTTGTCATCACATTACAAGATGATTTGTAAGTTCATCCTGTTAAGCTAAAAGGAATTTTCCATTGTACCCTGTTGATGTATTGTCAGATCTTAAATATTTATTATTCTTTTTTATCTTTATTAGGTACAGAGTAGTTTTTGCAAAGAATATGCAGATTAACTTGATGACAAGGGAACAGATGGAAATAAAGCTAGTTAAAAATGAAGTCTAAAAGTTATAAATAGATTATATACTTATCAGAAAAACCAAACACGAAAAATAATGTGTATAGAAATTCTGGAAAGGCAAAAATACTACAATTACAGAAACACGCATTATGATTTTTGAATCTTCGGCGGATTAGGTCATAGTTGAACTATGCAATGATTACAAATGTGCCCTATTATCAGATGTACGACAATTTCAAAGATAATTGATGAGAAGAAAAAAAAATGTTTATACTTACCTATTTAAATGAGGAAACCACGATGAAAATGAAATTTCAGAGAACCGACTATGTCCACTAATAATATGTACAACTTCTCTCTCGGCAATACTGGTGCAAATGAAACCATGCCAACTCAGTCCAATGGAGCATCCAATAATGCTGCCATGAGAACAGGATAAAATGAATTTTCCAGTCTAGCAAGCTAGCGACAAATCAAGTTTGAAATTTATGCAGACATTTGTTTAGTTCTAAATTCAATTAATTGAAAGATAATTACAACAGTTGAAAGTTTATGAAAATTAAATATTATAAATAGTCAAAATTAGAGAGTTCTACCAATACCAATGAAGGGTTTTGCTAGATGTATCATGAATATATATGGGTTTTTTTTTTAATATTTATGACGCCTCCAAAAAAGGATATTGTCCACATTTCTTAAAGTCTTCCAGCCCGATGGGAATGAAAATCGCGATGCATATACTTAGATAGTTTATAGATAATTTAAACAACCACAATTGAATGAAAGGATAAACACATGATCAAGAAAATTATTTTCAAAAACTATTTATTTAGCAATCACCCAAATCAAAGTAAATGGTGGATATGAATGTCCATTAAAAGCAGGCATGTATTCAGTGGATTGCACAGGCGATAATACGAGGGCTTTTTGGAAATTTTTAGACATTGTGTGTATTCTTCTTTCTAATGAACACCTTTTGGTGAATATTGCATTTGACAATCACTAAGATTCAATAAAAGCAAGAAATACTTAGAAATATTTTATTTCTTCTTTTCATTTTTTTATCAATGTATCAATGGTTGGGGTACCTGGCGCAGTCATGAAATCAGTTCATGTAGAAATACGTAACACCTACATTCCCGACGGGTTGACCCATAGTAAGATAGAAGATATATATATTTTTTTCAATTTCTATTTTGATATTATTTTCTGCAAGTTTGTTAGAATTCCGATCCGAAATACAGGGATCATAAAAAAAATTAATCACGAAATATGATTATGACGGCAAAATAGCTTTAACGTCAAGGCGGCGCTGATACCAAAAATTTTGTGTAGAGCTTTGTGGAATTTTCAACTCTTGTTCATACGAAACGACTTACTTGAACAATAACAATGTGAAGAAACATGTCTATGTTTTTTGTTCTTTGGTGATTTTTTCCCCTGGAAAATGAAAACATAGGATCCGGACGACCATCAATTATTACGGGCTAAAAACGTTGACCAGAGATGCAAACATCGGTACTGCATTATGCTAAGTCAACCTGTATATGACGCTTCATGTTATTTGATAGAGGTGGAAACAACACACATTTTCTTTCATTTTTTTCAGAAGAATCGTTTAAGAAAAAGCGAGTTTGATTTCTAGAATATTATATGTGATAACAGAGAAAGAAGAGTGAACACTTCCCGATCGTTTTATCATGAGAAAAGATCAAGTTTGGCGTGAAGTTAAAATAACGAAACGATGCTATTCCGGATCAATGGACATACGCAAGTTTATATTTTCACTGGGACGTATCAAATTACATGTGTCCTATTAATAAGAGATTTTGCAAATTTGTTTTATTTGTTCTTGATAAAATTTTGACGAATTTTCATGACTTTTTCTCTTTCCTTTATTGAGTAAAAGTAAATGTCTCAATAATTTCTGAACAGTTCGTACTGTATCTTTTTATAGCGTAAAACATGTTATTAGGTACATTCACTATTTCTTACTTCCTGTATGAAAGCAGATGTCATTACGATATATTTGTACCTTTTCAAGAGTTGTGAGTCCGAGTTCATATTCTCTAAAAACAAAGAACACATTTGACATATTACGTAATGCCAAGTAGTGTGAGAAATACATATATACCGGTATATTAAAGAAATAGGAAACATGTATTCATTGATAACAAATATGAAAATCTTTTTTCAATACTAACATAACTTACATGTCATTTTGCGAGTCATAACTTAGCTTAAGAACAATAGGGTTTTTATATTTTGTATATAATTAACGATTGCAAATAAACAATGTCTGTAATGAAAATCACCATTGATAAGTCGTAGAGTGTAAGAATTACTACTCTTTTTAGATAAAAATGGGTAGATAAATAGTTTATAAAATGACTATTTTCAATAATCAGTGTTTTATTAGATGAGTCTACCCAAAAAATGGTGTATCCTTTTAAAAAAGAAAATCTTAATCATTTACATCCCAGCATATTCACAAAAGAATAACATTAATGTGTTTAAACGGTGTATATTTACATCCAAATATGAATATCCACCGTTTCATTCAACTTTTATATATGTAGCCTTCGCATCAATAATACAGTATTTTAAGTACTTTCACTCACGTACTCACTAACTGTGAATCATCTTTACAAATATCAAAATATACAATTTTTTTTAATGAGGGGATGAATTGTTGCAATCATCGTCCATCTATTGGTCTGACCATTTTATCTCAATCATTATGAACACATTTTTGATGGACTGTTCCAAGGAGAAAAATGCAAACTATGGCAATGTTAAAAGATAATGACTTTGGAGTTATTTTTGACATTTAATTACATATCTCATGGTAAAAGCATGACCAAGAAGCATTACTCATATAATATTTGTTAACCTATTTTAGATCAGGGAGGTTGTTGACTGCACTGAATTGAAGTGTCATGATAGCATAGCATATTTTTTTCTAAAAACACAACCACTTCATTTTTTATTATTATTATTTAATTGATGGGTAAATTTATATGTATATGTATTTTAGTTAGAGGTGGATGGAAAGTGAGTGTTAATAAATAATACTGTACTACCCTTACCTTCAACAGGGGCATAATTGCTAAATACAATCAATTTCATGCTATGACATGCAGTCCGTGAAAGATCAAGAGCCTACTTTAGTACAAAGAATGTGCTTCGAATTAACACAGTTAATATTTCATTGAAAATTAAACATGGATTGCATTGTTTGTCTTCTGTGTTTCCCATTCGTTGATTTTTCATGAGTTTTTTTCCTCGTTTAAAACGCAACATAATTAAAGGAAATAATCAATGAGGAAGAAAAAAAGGATGACACTATCTGTGCTGTTAATGCTGAGGAGACATCATAAACCATAAAGTAAGAAATTATACAAAGTTCGAAAGAAGAAAAAAATAATATTTGAATTTTTCACAGCATTATATTCTTTTCAAATAGATAAACTATTACATAAGTTCAATTATTGTATAGATGGACTTAGGTTTCGAGAGAGCATTAAAATATTGGAGGGAACAGGGACTCATCGATGCCAAAAATAGTAAGTTCTTCCTTGTGATATTTTACGTAACAAAATAGTTAATTATAAATTTACTAGTTGAAGTTAAATTTTCAAAATAAAAGACTTCTTAAATTTCTTATTAGGCATTTAAAAAAATAGCGTTACTTTACGTATGTTTCATTTCTGTATTGATAAACGATCATCAGTCACTTAATATATAATCAGATTGAATTGCTTCCCTTAAAAATAGTGTGATAACATATAATGTGCAATATAAGACATTTTTAGAACTTTCACTTTTATGTTTTTATTGTAAACCGAAGTAAAATTAAACAAACTTAAAATAACTAAACTACATGTATTGCGAAGACTATACTTTCCCTCGAAATAAGCAACAAAAAATTCAAACAATTCTTTCAGCATTTGTGGTCAAGCAGGTTTTTTTTTTCCGAAAGAGGCTTCAAACTTTACATTTGCATTATATGATATGTAAAAAACGTCATAACTATTCATGAAATTGTTTGGAATGTTTTGAATATAGTATAGCTGAGGCATTGGATAATATGGTGGATTATTCTTTCACTAATTTTAACAGTGCAGGAGAGTTCACAAAAAATATCTTCATGGCACCATAACATAAAGTTCATATTGTTAATATTATCAATTAAGATTTATTTTGATGGAGTGCAGGATCAATGCAAAAATGACCTAATATCATTTTATTTAATGACTTTTATAAATCACTTAATCAAATTATTTAAATATTCAAAAAAAATTAAAAATTGAAAAAAAATCAAACACTATAGATTTGATTAACATGTTAGATATGCCATGTATGTTACCATGATATACTTATTTTCAACATTAAATTTAGAATACGAATGTAAAAGCAATTTTCATTTCATGTTTTTAAGACCGTGAATTGCGTCATCAACACGGTAAAGGACCATGCAATATTTTCATACTCGACACGTCATCAAGCCTTGGAGAGGAGGGCTTCAATCAAATGAAGGACACATTTTATACCATAATAAAGGGTAAGAAAGTAAAATATTTGTATCATACGATGAAAATCCTTTTAAAAAGTATCCGATATATCCAAAATTACCGACATTCTCTACTTTTGTAGGGTATGCAGATCACCCAGAAGAAGATGAAAACGTAGCTGTCATTATCTGTGGCAAAAAGACTAAATTCCTACATTATTTCTCAAACCAGTATTCTGCTCTTTCTAAATGCCTAGGTAAAAGACCAATGAGCTCAATAAGTTATATAAATAATATTTGCGAAACTGTCTGTTGGTATATTGATAAATATATACCATGTTGTTCTTTTCTTTTTTCAACACTGTTGTTACTTTCATGAGCCAACAGAAAAAAAATAGACATTAAAATATGAAAACAATACTTTGAAAATGCACTAATATGTTTTATTATTTATGTGTTTGTTGTCGAGCAAACAAACATTTTTTTATGAATACAATTTCTTAAAATAAATCACAATCATTTGTTCTGACTTATATTAGATGATGTTGAATATGGAGGACTATCTCCACTGATGGCGGCATTTATACTTTGTTTTGAATCAACCCATAATGGAGCAAGTAAAGTTTTTATTTATATACTTCAATTTCTCATGCATATATAAGGTATTTAGTAAGAGGTTAACCTACCTTACGTAAGTCATATCGGAATATCGTAAAAGTTATCTGACACATACAGAAACAATTCATTAAAGAGGTTGTATTTTCTTTCTTGAATCAAAAATTTGACGTTAATTGAGAATCCCGCCAAACTAATTAATCTGCCAAAATGTAGTATATTATGGTATATCCAGGGAGATTACTTTTTATCACCAAAGTTCTGTTTTTGTGAAAATTATATTGAATTTTAACATTTCCTAGGTCATACTTCAAGGATACAAGAATTTCGGATTCGTCCACGAATTATTCTCATCTCCGATGGCCGACCTACGCCTTTTCAAATAATCAGTGAAGCAGACGACTCGAGTATTCAGGAAACTGAACAAGTAAATAAATATGATTGATAGTCTTTAATATTAGATTAGATGTATAATTATGCAAAAGAAATACTTAATATTACTGAAAGAAGGTAAATATTTTAGGCCAAAAACAATCTTCAACAATTTGCTCGTCAAGTTGGAAGACGTCATCCAATTTTTTGCATACCTTTGGGCATGAATCCGGACATGGTAAAATTATTCAATTTTTCGGTTTGAATTTAAATATTCTGATATTTTTCTTGGACGTTTATTTAAGCATTTTCTGTTTTAGCTGTTTTTGGAATTCATGTGTGCTGAGTCCAGAGGAGGAAAAATAGTTTTTGATTATGAAGCCTTGCAATTTTCAAGATATTCAAAGAATGTGGTATCTAAATTCATTAAATCTAAAAATGATAAACTTTATGAAAATAAAACATCATTTATTTATTTTCAATTTCTTCAATTTCTTTAATCACAGCAAATGACTATTCTTAATGTCTTTGTTTGTTGAAACGATTTTTAAACAGTTGGAAAATACAGTGCATATAACTCTAATAGATTTTTTTTCAGATTTTTTTTTCATTAATATTTTTGCTTTCAAATTCGGGCTGTAAATATGTTATGTCTTCTGTAAGCAAAATTGTATGGTGTATTTACCCTATAGCACATTTATTACCCACAGAGATCAGCGGCATTATTATCATCTTTGTCACCATATAATGCCATGGATAGAGATACTTTATCTTCTATTATTTCGACGACAATCCCCGGAAATAATTTCACCGAAATGGATAAGGTAAAATTGATTATTTCAATAAGACGTGTTTAAAACAACATACAACATATTATAAATTAAATCTTTAAGATAGTCAGTAGTTACTTATACATTTTGAAATAATTATTATATTATTAGATTTTTTTGATAATTTTATTTCAGCATTATTATTTTTTCAATCTTGTATGATGAGATCAATACGAAATGTTTTTTTCAGAAGTAATATACATGTTTCAAGCATATATGTTTGTCTTAAGATGATAAAAAATATCTTAAAATGTTCTTTTTCTGAAGAAGTAATACATTTCTGTATAGTATTTAGAAAAATTAACAATCTGCCCTAACAGAAACAACACTTACAAGAAAGAAAAATAAAAAGCGAGTCTAGTTTGCAAGAAATGCGATGAAATGAAAATTAGTTAGCACTGGGGTAAAACATAAATATAGTTCAAAGGCATTTCAAGGACATTCAAAACTAATAAACACAATTTGAAACATTTTTGGCATTTTCAACAATAAATGGTCTTTGTTTTGTTATCAGTTTGGCAAAAAATAGAAATAAAAACAAGAGGTGTCCGTAAAACAATGACGGCAGCTTATGGCCAAGGTTAAAGGTTCTCATATGGGCAAAACTCCAGGTCAAGGTAATTATAAAAGATGTTGGTACCCAATGAAAGGTCTTGCCTAAATGAATATACCTGTGAGATATGAAATCCGTAGTATAAACAATTAAAAAGTTATGGAGAAGGTTAAAAAATTTCAAAAGTAAGTCAAACATCAAGGTCAAAAAGTAAAAATTGTTGGTATCCACGGAATTTCTTGTGTTTTCTTGAAATACACTTTGAAATAAGAAAGCCCTCGTACCAACTGTTCAAAAGATATGACCAAAGTTATTTTTTTTCAAAAGAGGGTCAAACCCCAAGGTAAATATCAAAGGATAAAAAATGTTGGTATCCAAGGGCTGTCTTATCACAAAGAATACACCCATGAAATTAATATGACAGCTCTAGGACTAACCGTGCAAATATAATTAATGTTATAGCCCAGGTTTTTTAAAAGTGGGTCAAATTCCAAGGTCAAAGGGTCATGAATATTTATACTTAAGGAAAGATTTTCTCACAAGAAATATATATTTGAAGTATGAAAGCCCTAGCACCAACTGTTCAAAAGTTATGGACAAGGTTAAAGTTGGTAAAATTTGGCAAATAAGGGTCAAAATCTAAGATCAAGTGGTCAAATATGATGGTACCCAGAGAAAGATCTTGTCACAAGGAATACACATGATATATGAAAGTCATGGATTCAACCAATCAAAAATTATTGGCAAGGTTAAAGTTTTTGCAGACAAACTGACAAACAGACAGGCAAACAGAGACAGACGGACGGACAGAGCAAACACTATATGTCCTCGAATTTTCGATAACGAGGACAGACAAACAGAGCGAAGTAGACTCAAGCTAGGAAAGGTATCAATAATACATTTGTAAATGGTGTTTTAATTAACACACATTAAATAATTCATCTGTAATTCATCTAAATAAAGTCACTCAATACGAAATAATACATATTTTCATTTAGAACGATATATTTGATTTATGGACCAAGAAATCCTTATATACATCTGAGCCCCCAGACGAAGACGAAGACAGTGATGACACAGAAGATATCTTAGAGAAAGGCCATCCATGCATGCCAGATCTGGGAGTCAGGGTAAAACGGGGCCCTCACTGGGAGTGGAAAAATCAAGATAGTCATGGTCCTGGCACCGTGATAGGATATTCGAGAGGTAAATTGTACTTTACCACAACTAAACAAACATGATATTTTTAACTAGACTTTAGCTCAGCTACCTTAGATCAACACTAAAAGTGGTTTGTTCTTAGACTTCATGTAAATTTCGATAAAAAAAAACTTGTATTATTTTTCTCTTAGTATTTATCTGATAAATTCAAAATTTCAATTTTAAATCTCAAGAAAAAATTAGATATAAAAATTATCAACCATCACTTTACATAAAGGATGATAATAATGCGTACACATGAAAGAAATACATTCCAGCAACTATAAAATGCAAAAAAAAAAAAAAAAAGAGTTCAGGTGACACAATGAACTGTAGTTTAGCAGGTCCCACTTGTTTCGGACAGGTTAATAGAGTTGTTGATAGATATTTACAACATCTTGATTCACTAAGATACTCATGCAATCCATATATCCATTGAAGTGTCCAATTATAAAATGTCATTTTTAATAAACATCTACCATATTTTTAACTCAAAAATCACGTTGTCAAAGAACACAAAATTACTGATAAAATCATTCAATTGAATATTGAATGATTGTATTGTTTGAAAAGGTTCTGGAATAGATATATGAAAATTCAGAGTATTTTCATCTTTACGAAGACTTCACGGAGTATACTTCTTTCACTTGAATAAAGCAAAAATGAAAGAATTAGCAATCTTCATTTATATCATAGATTGCATTATTTTAGTAACCACAGCAAATCCACAATCGATTCAGAAATTTTCTTTCCGTAGAAATATGCTATATTAGAATACCAAATCGGAATAAAGAATTCTACGCATTGATGTGCATTATCATACATACATCGACTCCATATTTCGTTCATAAATGCAAAGCCATGATAGTAGAGACATGAATTGTTCCATTAATGTGTACTTTTCAATCATGGCAAATCCCAAGCTTTATTAACACAGGGAAACAATACGGGATATAGCATTCTAAAAATATATACAAATGAACAGAGAGAACAATAAACTACGTGCATCTTTCCAGTCCATGACCCTTCTAATCTTCTACAAGGGAGTGGACTTTAATAGCATATTTATCTGCAGATGGGTGGTTGAGAGTAGAATGGGACGGTGGTGGAAAGAATGTTTACAGGTACGGACCCATGCATGGAAGGAGAGATTTATATGACGTCATAATGTGCAATATTCCTAGAGTTCTAGAGGAGAACGAACTGATTGGCACAGGCTGTTTAGTTAAAAGAGGTAATTTTCATGCATTAAATGCATCATTGAATTTTTTAATGCTTCGTGTTATTATTTTGAATTATCTGGCTGTCATTTATTTTTTAACGTTTGCAAGGTCCAGACTGGGAGTGGGGTAATCAAGATGGCGGAGAAGGAAACATTGGATCGGTTTTTAGAGTCAAAAGTAATGCAACAGTCAACGTAGGTTTAGATTCGATTTGATAACTTTCCTTAAACGATTTAAAGGAGAACATCAACTTTCATCATTAACGATTGTCTACGTATTTTTTTAGGTCAAGTGGTCAAATGGAAATATTTCTAATTATAGATTTGGTTATAAAGAGAAATTTGATCTTCAAATATGGTAATAAAAATATGATTAAAATTTATCTGAAAAACATTATGATACATAATGCAGCTATTTATTTTCAATGAAAAGCGACGCATATCTTAAATAAAAATGTTAGAAGACTTTTCTGTAAATAGCTTGTTCGCGGTCATCATTTTAAATTTTATAATACTCTTAATACTTATTTACAGTGATCCATTTTCAAAAGAGGCTGAAAAATATTTCCAGGAGGAAATCAAACCTTCATTACCAAAATCTCGGACAGAAAAATTGCTTAATTTTGGTGAAAATTTTACCCTAAAATTAAAGATCCTTTTAGTCTCTAAAACAAAATATTTCAAATGATCTGTGTTGAATGTTAAATAAGAGATCTAATTTATTTTTTTTTCTGAATAATTGCAGAGGATTCCAATTCATATCAATGCTCAAAATCAAAATCACCAGAGGACAGCCGGTCGGATGGCTACAATTCATCACATTTTTCTTCACATTTGTTAAAAAGATCTAAAGGTAAATACTTCAAAAACGACAGTGTAGAAGAGGAATGTTCTACAGATTTAGAGACGGATGGTCCAATATCAATGAATCAATGGATGTGGAAAGATAACAATGGGAAATGGAATCCGTATCCGGTAAAAATGAATGACAAAATATGGAAATCATGGAAAAGGAATCCAAATTCTACAGTAGTGGTTGAAGTTAATGACTGCGTGTAAGTATTTAAACCATTGGTTTCATGTATTTTAAGAAGGTGACTGATGAAATATTAATGTTGTAGAAAGGGAATCTGAATTCTCACGTTGTAGTTGAGGTATACACTTGTATATAAGTGTTTCGACATACTTGATATTTGATTTCATTATGAATTCTTTACAAAATAGGAGAGACGCGAGATATGTGGCGTTCTTCCAGCCTTTTCATTTATTAATACAAAATTCTATTTATACTTTGTTTCTAAATTTACAAATACGTTTCTTTTACTTAGTTTCAGAGTTGTGTTTGCAAAGAACATACAGATAAATTTGACAACCGGAGAAACAATGGAGATAAAATTCTTTGAAAATTCCTAAGGAATTAATGTGAAACTTGAGTTTTGTCGATTTATCATTCATGCAGGGAATGTAAAAAAGTAATGCTGTGCTGTGATGATACTTTGTAAAACCTCTTCCTTTCTTTGGTTCACGAAAAAGCTCATTTCCAATGATGTCGGACGAGAACATTATGAATCATAATTTGATCTGCAGAATCAGGATGTAGAATTAGTATAGATTTTTTTCTTCAACATATATTATCTAATTGATCATTTTCTTATTTTAATTGTATTTTAAAGTCTATGCACTAGGAAGGAAAACATGCTCATCCATACAAAATAGTCATTTTTAAAGGGAGAAACAGATGCTCATACAATTCTTAGAACTACGTTAAGGGCTCATGCAATTGATTTTTTTTTATTTTACTATCAGATATGAACATAGGATGAAGAAGACATATTCAGTGTCACTGAAAATAAATTTAGCAGTTACATTAAAATTGTTGGGGAAGTAGTTGTGACCTCTTCTCTACATTTTAATAAAAAATGGATTATTTATTCTGCAAAAATGCCCCTTGCTAACATTAGTAATCTCAATCCAGTAGTTAAAAGTGTTTCAATAAATGGTATAAAACGATTTAAATACCACATTTTTCATTGACAGTACATGTGAGCTTTGCTAGTTTACTATAAGTAAGATCATATGCTCAAGTGCAAAATTAAAACATTTAGAATTGTCATTTCCTTCCATTCTAAGGTTCTTCTGTATCTTTGTACTTTGGGTGGATCAGATTTGTTTTCAGCAAATGATATATGGTCAAATATTTTCAGTTTTGAGAGTTGTACTGAAAGCAATTAAAAATCACAAAGTTTTCAATAATATATATGGAGATAACAAAAAGTATTCAAACTCAAAAGTCCATCAAACAATACAAAATAGGAGGAGAGCAAACGCGGACCTCCAATACATCAGAAGTGGAATCAGGTGCCATGGAGAAGTGAGCATCCCCTGCCGACCGGTCACACCCGCCGTGTGCTCCTTGTCATGACTGGGAAATAATGAAAAAATCCGTCGACAATTCAGTGTGTAAATAATGGTCTAACAATTAGTATGAAAAACGTCTGTCAGCATTTGACTCAAACATAAATTGTATTTGCTGACAAGGTCATTGTATGGACCATAGAACTTAAGAAATGATGAGTTTAAACGAGGCTGCTGATATTCTTGTTTCATTAACTTGTTTGTCAATAATTTTCCTCGTTTTAGAAATTGTATATACGTAGAGCATGCTCTTGCGTATCGAATCAACTGAGAGATATAAACCAACTATGCAGGTGATGAAGGTATATTGCTGTATAAGTAAGGGAAGTTGACGATATATAGAAATGTTAACGTAATCACATTTATCATAAAGCTTGGTTGTTAGATTACCATTAACGTCTTTTTCAAGTAAAATATTACCGTTTACGGTAGCTCAGTCGGTAGAGCGTTCGCTTCGTGATCGGGAGGTCATGAGTTCGAATCTCGGCGGCGACTGACCTAAGTCGATAATAAATGGGTAGCAACTGTTCCTTCTCCATGCGCTCGGCAATTTGAAGTGAAAGTTGCGGGTCCTTCGGATGAGACCTAAAAAACCGAGGCCCCGTGTCACGGCAGGCGTTGGCACGATAAAGATCCCTCACTGCTCAATGGCCCTGAGTGCCGAATAAAGGTCAAAATTTGAAGCCCTTCACCGGTATATGGTGACGTCTCTATATGAGTGAAAAATTCTCGAATGGGACGTAAATACAATCAATCAATCAAGTAAAATATCCAAATATGAAACAGATGTGTCAGACTCTGTGGTATCTTTTATCTCAAGCTCACCGGGATATATCGTATCGCCATAAAAATGGAAATAACCATTGTTAATTGACAATACGTCGTCGATATATCTAAATGTCGAGTTGAAGGCCACAGGAAGTGTTTTCTTCTTTCCACGTATAATATTTTGGACAAATTCTGCTTCATAATTGCATGGCAACTACTTTTAGTGCCTAAATATAATACATATTTACCATTCAATATTTCCCGCAGATCTATATCTTGTACACAATAGAAGCTTTATGTAAAGCTATAACTACCAATATATGATTCATATCGAAGTTATTAAAAACATATTAATGTTAAAAGAACTTTACGATATTGTTAAAGGTTTGAATATTTTCTTGAACGACGTATTATAGAATTTGCAATTTATTTTTTTCAAACAATGTATGTACAAGGTTTCTGTATTTTATATGTAAAATCTAACAATAATAATAAGCAATTCTCTAAAGGACTCTAGAGAAATTTTAAAGAAGTAAATAAATATATTATTTAAAATAACAGTTGGCTGGTTGATTGTGGAATGGGATGCAGCTTCTTGAAACAGCTATAGATAAGGAACAACTAATGTTGAGAAATATAAATACGATGTTGTTGTTTGTGAAGAACTTAGAATATTAGATAGCGAACTTATAGTTATCGGATCTGATGAAAGCTATGTTACACAAAGGGGAAAAGACAAATAATATACATAAGCTTCAGATTTTTTTAAAATAATTTATTGTTCATGCCAATATATTTACGTTTCCATATATTTTTCCTTAAGATTCTTTGCAGATTAGAAGAATTTCATGCTCTCATGAACTTTCGTGGGATGAGTAAGAATATTTCTATTGTGATGTGACTGAAGTAAAAAAAAATAGTGCAAACCTTTTTTTTCAAAAATGATCGTTGAATGACAAAAATATGTGGCAAGTCATCTGAAAAATAATGTGAATATAAGATATGAATTTAATTTTTGAGGTACATTAAGTACAACGCTTTACGCCTGCATATTTATCATGAAGCGCTAACGCGCTTCATGAAATATGTCGTTATGAAGCGTCGTAGTTCATGTCCTCATGAATTCTCAAAAAATTAAATTCATCTCTTAGATCAAAAGAATTTTAGCTTGATAAGAGCCTAGTCAATTAGACGGCATTCTGGTAACTTTAAGAATATGCGAGTTTTAACCCTTTTTAATCTTTTCTTCTCTAAAAATCATTTTCTATAGGACCAGATTGGAAATCTGGTGATCTTGTGCTGTATATAGAGTAAAGTCAGACGGACATGCGCGATTCATTTTTCTTTTTACGCATGCAAACTTTTGATCTTTTGTTATTCTATTTAGTTTGTATGTGAAGAGACAGGGCCTTATTAATACGGTTTATGTTTATTTTGACATCACACACATCTGACACAGCAAGGTATAAACAAGCAGTAATTGATAGCCTTGCAATTGGTGATATGACGTCATCATTTAGTGAGAGGTGAATCAAGTTATTTTTTTCCTAGTGAAAATGTGTTTCATAATTAAGCAGATATGTAATAGATCACTTATCTAAATACGATGACTTCTTACCGATTTTACTCATATATTTTCTCGACATTCCCTGGTAAGCACCTGACAGAGTGATATTGCCGTACATGTGTATGAAAATACTGTAAATCGATCTATTACATGTAAATGATGTTAAAAGATGTCAAAAGATAGCAAAAATCAATTTATATGTCATGACATCAATTACTAATAGTTTATCCGAAATAAAAACAAGATGTGCATTGCAAAATTTTTGAAGATTACCAAATTATGGAAAATCAACCTTATATCATTCAGTTCAGATACATGAATTCGGAGTAATCTCAAAAAGCATCATCCATGATCCCATATTTGATGTTTTGTGGGTCCGTATTTATTCTGCTTACAATATCGTATTGTTTAATGAACTCTTGAGCTTGATTACGGTTCGTTATCGTCATATTCCATGCTACCTTATATTCATTTTAAATTTTATTCTATTTCAAAAAAGAGTTATCATGAAATTATGACGAGATGCAGAACACTAATCCAAGAAGACCAATTTTAAATTGAAAATCCCTTCAATGCTGCATCTTCTTATGAATTCTACGATTACCGTGAAAAGTGAAACACGCCTAAAAAACAATTGACTATGCTATTCTCAATATATAGGAACAAAAATGCATAACATATTGGGGATTTCTTAATTTTAAAACGCACTTCAAACATTTAATAAAAGACAAGAATTCATTTCAATAACATTTTAAAACGAAACTCTTACGACTTTAGCAGTCTTGAAGCTAAATATATTGTAACTAAGTACATGCAATATCATTAAGTTTGATTTTTACTATGTTCAATGTACGTTATGCTTAATTCTGTAGAATCAAGTTTGTTCAAGGCGGGTGTGACCGGTCAATAGGGGATGCTTGCTCCTCCTAGGCACCTGA